AGAAACATCATAGAAGGAGCAGAGAGTTCGGTCTTGTCAGCAGGTTTCATGTGAAGGTTGAGGACCTATTTCATGCGGGATCCGCAACTGTGATGTGAAATAAGGACAGCGGAGGGATGCCGTGTCAGTTTGCCGGCACATTATAGGACACGAGAAACAGTCAAACCAGGACAAACTAAATTCCCATCAAGAATGAAATAGTTGATTGTTTAAAGAAAAACCCTGACTGCTTGTTGGTTCTCATGAAACGAGAAAACTTCTCGAGTGACCCTGATTGACTCTTGGGCGTCTCACCTTGGAGAAAGGGGACGTAGTTCACAACATACCCATGATGTTACTTAACAAATCTGGACTCCACTGAACAACGTCATTAAGAGACATCCCAGCAATACCAATACCAAAGCTACCAAAGGAACCAAAGGAAGTGTGTTTCTGACTTTCTTAGAAAATAGATCCATCAAAGGTTTTATCCTGCTGTTGTGGATGTGGAAACAAACTGTGTTCAGAGGCAGTGCTTTTTGGAAGTGATATTAAGCCCATACGGTGATTTCCACTACAGAGTCGAGTGCCGCTCCGATGATCAGACTCTATTAAATCTGCATTAACTGTTAAGACAAAAACAAAAAGCTGTAAAGAACTGAAGGATTGAAAGACGAGGGTGAGTGTGTGTGTGTGTGCAGGAAAACATCTTGATGGGTTGTGTCCGGGAAGGAGGTTGAGGCGGCGGTGGGCTTGGGGGGCTCCTGAGTATGATTTGATCCTGGAAGGCTCAATTAAGTGGTTCGTTTACCCCTCGTGTGGAGCTGGTGAATTGGAGCCAGGTCAGCTCCGGGTTGAGGTGTTGTTCATTATTTTTCCGCCTGTCGGATCCCATGAGCGGCCGCTGGAGACGGTGGCTGCTCGGCGGCCGAGGAGCAAAGGGCCTGCCGGTGGGGTACGTCAAACACACTCAAAGCCTCTCCCCTTGCCTGGGGGATTATGATCAACAAAGCATGTCCCACACCTGCACCGGCCAGCACAATGGAAACTCTGCGGGCCAATGGAGACGCAGGGAGAGACCAGTTATTAGAGTCCCCCCACCAATGAAATGGATTACATTAACCCCTTCTGTTGTTGTTCCTCCCGGAGCTTAAACATCGAACTGACAGACTCCACATCCCATTGAGAAAAATCACAGTAACACTTTGTTACAACAGCTCTATTCCACTTTATCCAACGAGGGGAAGTATTTTGTCTCCACTGTTCAACTATGTGATGACTGAAGTGTTGCAGCTAGCTCCTTAAAGTACTTGAGTCTTTGGTATTAGCGTTAGGAATGTTATAAACTTAGAAAAACAACACAAAACTGAACTTGACCATTAGGAGAAGGCATGTCTAGAGTTTGTGTACACATACAGACATGGAGAATGGAAGAAGTCAAGAGTCCAGATAAAGCAAGGGCCACAAGTGATCAAATCCGCCTGGTTGCCATGGCAACTAGCTATACAATTTTGTGATTTAGGACATAGGACAGTGAACGAAGCAGGAAATGGGCAGGGACAGTAGGGAGTTGGACCACAGGTTGGACTTGAACCGAGGGATTGTATCCGTTTTGGTGGTAATGGGACATGCGTTTGACCGTCGGGACAGATATTACTAAATACTCCCGTTTCTACACACCGTACCTATGAAAGACATTTAAAATGCCAATCTGATTCAATGCAGAACCTCAGGGCAAAGAAAAGTGAAATCACCAACAACTGCAGTTACACAAATGACCACTTGAGGCTGACTCCAAAGGTGAGCCAACCCCCATTGATCATAATATTTAAAGGCCTAACTTTACCTTAAATTTGCATGTTATTTTAAGATTATTCCCTGGGTTAATTTTACGCTTCTTTTAAGGGGTGGGAAGCACAGAAAACGGGTTTGTGGAGGGTACTTGGTCGCCACTCCGCTAACATGTTTTTCATGTGGTTTACTTTCCAACCAGACTGTCCAAGAAGTCCATCCTCCACCTTCTGAGGTGAGTAGATTCTGTTACTGCTTGTTGCCCTTCTCATACCTGTCTTGTTATTTAGCTTGTTAAGGATCTTGATCACATTCGAACTTTGACAACTTTTCATGCAAAGTTGGTCACAAACGTTTCTTCAAAAGAGCGATACACAGATCTTCAGGTGGCCTCACTGTGACTTGCATGTTGTCATGTGGCACATTGTTGGGTTTTTTTCAGGTACATCCCTTTCTTGTCGCTTTGAAACGTGTTTTGAGTTCGTGCAATTTTATGGTGACCATACGTCCTCTTCCACCCGGACATGTCCTCTTTTGGGGGGCTGTCCGGCCTTGTTCGTGAGAGTTTATAAAGCCCTTCAAATGTTCAGGGTTTTCTATGAAAGTTTTGAGTTTGTGTCATGTGGACTTACTGAGTTAGAAGCGCGTAAAAAACACTCAACCAGACTCGAAAAACTCTCAAAATTTACTAAGCGCAACTCTGTGACTCCGCCCGCGTAGTCGTGTCCGAATGCTTGTAAGCTGTGCCTCAATCTGCAGAGTTTCTATGTGACTTAGTGGCCTATAGCAAAGGTGCTGATACCCCAATGAACTCTTAGGCGCCAGAAGATAAAATAACTGCTTTCAAAGTTACAGCCCCAGTGTTCCTTCAAGCTCCTCACTTGGTATCTCCTCTCAAATCTATCGGTTGAAACTCAGACCTCTTCCAGAATCGGAGCGGTATTCTTCCATGTTCTCGGTGTCCTGTTTCCATAAAACTGTATCAACAAGTAAACAGCGTTGTTGACAGATAACTGTGCAGCGGTAACGTAGCCGGTGAGTGTGTTTGGGGTTTGTTCCACATGTGTTTTGGAACAACAGAGCAGGAGGATACTCAAATATTTTTGCTGAAGGAGGGTGTCAGTCCCCAGGGAACCCATCATGGGCGAATCAGACTGAAACTCAGAGGAATGCACGTCGATGCCCTCGTCCTCACCCTCCTCTCCACCCCCTCCTCACACCCTCTCCCTCCTCCTCTCTTTTCTCCTTTAATTGGACCCGTTCTTTGGCACCTCTCCAGATAATACTGTCACTTTACGCTGCGTAATAAGCTATTAGCCCCAGCCGGACCGGACTCCGCCGCTACCCCGCGCTAATCGACATGGACATGGTCATTGTGTGGGACTGGGACTCAGGACAGCACAGTCCGGCTATTGTTATGGCCTGGACCTCAGAGCCCTGGATGCCCACACCCTGGCCCAGCAGAGGGTTGGGGGTGGGGCAGAGGGGGAGATCAAGGAGAGGTGAACTCACTCCCACTGCCCTTTAGGAAACAACAAAACAAACTGTAACACCTTTGGTTCAGCCATCTTGCTTTGGCAAAAATATGACTTTAAGACATGCTCAGACACAATGGAGCACCTGTTACGATCGTAGACCCCCGTCGGATCAAAGAAAAGCCACACTAAGGGGTTTTTGAGGTCGTAAACAAAAGTCCTACTGCATTTGGCTGAATGCTGGAATCAAGAAGTTCATCATGGCAATAAAAGGATGATGATGCACAATGTTTCTAGCTGCTCTAGTTTGCTGTCATTTGTGATCTTGGTTGCTAAAACCAATGTGGTCTCTTCAGGTGGTCCTTTAGTTAAATAAAAACTATGAGCTCTACTCTGTCCTGGTACCAATGGAAGGACATGCCAAACCTGCAGACACCCACAGTTGGCAAAACTGGCAAAAAATGCTGTTTTTGAATGGGATTTTTAATTGACTTTTTTCAATCTGTTTAAATCGGGCATTGCACAAAAAATAATAATGCGTCAAACTAATGTTGTTGGTAATTATTGACATACCATAGGCTGCCATATATGAAAAAAGGAAATTCCTGCCCAGCATTTAATATCTACAAAATAACTCAAAATTTCCTTTTTTTAATTAAAAATAGCCGTGACATCTTATTGTCACACTGGCATTTAAAGGGTTAAAATCCTGAAAATGAATTAATACTTGATAGATATGATCAAGAATGTAGTTGATTAAAAGATTTAAGCAAATAAGTGGAAAAAAATATTATTGTATGATAATTTTATAGCACTTTTAGGAGATGGACATTTTTGTCCATCTAAGGATCTTAGTGTAACTTTTTAAAAAATTAGACAATAGATCAAACATAATAATGCATCATAATGAATGTTGTTGTTAATTATTGGCCTAACATAGGCTGCCAAAAAAAAAGAAAGTCCTGCCCAGAATCCAATACATGGAAAATAACTCCAAATTCATTTTTTTCCTATTAGAAATAACAGTGACATCATATAGTCAAACTGGCATTTAAAGGATTAAAATTCTGAAAATTAATTAATATTTGATCAGAATTGAAGTTGATTAAAGATTTAAGCAAAAATAAATGGAAAAAAATATTAGTGTATTATCATTTTGTAGCACTTTTAGGAGATTGACATTTTTGTCCATCTAAGGACCTAAGTATAACTTTTTTTTAAGGACCCCAGAAAGTGTTTTAAAGTTTTCTGGTTTATGGTCGACATAACTCACCAACACAGACTGAGAAAGTCTGTTTAAAACTGCAGTGATACGACTATAGTTGATGGATTTACACATTATCAAAGTCAGTGAAGCGAGGGACAGAAGCCTTCGATGATCATTTTATCTTGTGCCCTAAAGTTACCATCTTGCAAATGAGAAATGTTCTCGTTCCAACAAGATAAGAAAGATTTCCTTCAGGGGTTTAGAAATATTTCACTTTAGCAGTTTACTACTGCTGCCAAGAATACCGGAGAAGTTCGAAACTGAGCAACCTCGGCTGGATACCATTTCACAGAGAGACATTTCTCAGAGATCTCATTACACTGTTCTGAAATTTAGTTTAATGTCTGATGTATTAATGAGAATGTATTTGATATGAGTGCAGCTTTCCTGTGCATAATGAGGCTGAGGCGGGAACCTCACTAAACCATGCAACATCTCTTGAACAAGCCCCAACACCTCCAGGCTGAAAATTAAGGGGTTAGACGAGGCCTTGGCGCTGCAGCCTGTCTGAGGAGCTAATACTCGCTCACAGCCTTGGCAGGGAGGGAGACGGAGACGTATTTTATGTTGGGGATGTACAGACTTCACGCTCAGCTCTGAGTGTCAATCTTTCATTTGTCAGCAGCCGAGTCTGAGCTGCAGGATTGATATACGGACGCATAAATCAAAGTCCGTTGATGGGAACGGCGCGTAATTACCCGACTGGAAACCCAAATGGCGAAGTCTTTTCTGAGTTTTGTGTCAGAGTCTGTTCATGTGTGTTTGGAGGAATGCTGCAGGGGAAGGAGGGCAGGCTGGGACAGAGCTGTGAACAGGTGCATGATGGGTTGGGAGTCCAGGGAGGAGCCCCTGTGGTTCAGTGTGAGATTGGCAATGCGAGTGTGTAAGTGTGGTGGTAATTCACACAACTTCAGCTCGACACTTCAGTTCTTTAGACATGATCGAAATATGAGAAGTATCTCCTAAACTGATTTTTTTTTCTGCAGATTTTTCGACATCTCTGCAACACTATCGCTGCTTCATGGTGGCGGGATAAAAGTCGGTTTGAATTATCTCCAAATGTTTTATTTCTGTCCCGTTAAAACAAACCCATCTATCCTTCTATCAGTCACCCCCCACTCCTACACACACACACACCCTTCCACCCTCTAATCCAGCCCCCTCTGAGCTCAGGGTCCTGGAGAAAGGTTCATCCAGAGGGCGAAATCAGCTTCCATGGCAAAGTTTTAGCTGGGGGGGGTGGGTGGAGCATTTGAATGTGGTTGAGTGTGTATCTATGTGTGTGTTTTGAGGGGCTGCGTATGTGTGTGTGTGTGTGTGTGTGTTGGAGGTTCATTGGCTCTGAGGTTCCTCACCCACGTTTGTCCGGGTTCACCGCTCCGGGTGTGTGTTCTGAGGTCACGGCTGAGATGCTGGTCAGCTCCTGGTTCACGGCGGCTGACCGAGGCATCAGATTCTGGGGGAGGGCGTCTGATGTCTCACAAATTTAGAGGCCTGGGACGTCTGTAAACTTTATTTAAACAGAGTTATTGTTGTAATTAACATAAAATTTGGTCGTCTAAAAGTAAGAGGCGCCGTATGTAGACTTTTTTACCCGTATGAAACGCAGAGAGAGGTATCCACTCATGTTAGAGGTGGTAACAAAGTTGTCTCCACAAGTCTACTACCTGTAATATAAAATAATTTAAAATATGTTATATATATTTTCTTGTTTAACTTCAGTGGTAGCAGCAACAGTTAAATCTGCTCAAGAGATGAATGTTGCCGATCGCTTGCTTCTCTAGTTACACCAACTTTAGTAACGACCGCAGGATAGAACGCCACTCTATAGCCACAAATAATGCTCAGAACAGCACCTAACTTCATCAACAGGACATATAGGGTCACAGACATAGTACTAGACACCAAACATCTTTTTAACTTTGACTCATTTCTTTATGATCATTTCTTTATCATTTCCTTTAAGTAATAATCACCATATTAATCATTTTGCTCCGCAGACGCGGTGGTTCTTCTGCCTTAGCGTCTCGGTCTGATTGCATTTCCATGAAGAAATGATCATAAATGTTCTTCCTTGAGCTGTGTCACCCCGCTGTAGTCCGTAATGGACTGGCCTGAGGTCTTGCTACAAACAAGCGGCTGCTGGAAGAGAGTAGGTGAGTTGTGTTTCATCTTTTTGCTAGAGAAATTAGGCAAAGCTAAAAAGATGTTTGGTGGCTAATAATATGGCTGTGACCCTATATGTCCTGTTGATGAAGTTAGGTGCTGTTCTGAGCATTATTTGTGGCTATAGAGTGGCGTTTTGGTTAAGCATGTGGCTATCGTGTGGTCGTTACTGAAGTTGGTATGACTAGAGAAGCAAGCGGTCGGCAACATTCATCTCTCAACAGGGTGTCTAACTCTGTGTTACGGTGTGTTTGACCCTAACTTAATTTTATGCCGGAATATCCCTTTAACTTATTTGGCCAAATTCAACATAAGTGCTGCCGATAATCACTCAGAGTTTCAGGGTAGCCAACGGCTCCATGTCGATACGCTCCCTCTCTTTCACACGTTACTACTGGGATATCTCCTAGCTGACCTCTTGCGTCATGCACCAAAACAATCAACAAACACGTTAGCAAGAAACTGTTCAACCTCCGATTCAGGGCCTGATATGTGCGTGGAGCATCAGAGTCAGATTGAGATGTACATATGGAAGAGAAAAATTCATGTCTGACCTCTTTATTCAGGTGTTCTAGTCGAGGTTTTAACCCTTTTTAGTTGGTGAAAAACTTTAATTTCCAACATCGTAAATCAGCTGAAGTTGTTATTTTAATGTCTGTTGCACCTGAGCTGACTTTACAGGGCTTGTTTCTGTTCATGTGGTGTGATAAAGGAATAAGAAACTCAAAAAATCACTTTCAGATTATTCACTTTGCTGCAATCAGGGATTAAGTGCTTTGCTTAAAGGCTCCACAGTGGTGGTGATAGACCGCACAACAGGGACTCAAGAGGCTGGAGAGAGGTCCCTGCAGGAGTACGTGTGTGTGTCTGTGTCTGTGTGTGTGTAAGTGTGTGTGTGTGTTGTTTACAGTTTACACAGCAGCACACTGGCAGAGCATCGAAAGCATGTTGCTTTTTGTTATGAGGTAAACACGACCCCCAACCCTGAGGCGGGACCAGGACAAACAGCAGAACCATGGGAGGTCCCTCAGCATCAGTGATACCCCGACGCTCCAGAGGAAGATATTTTACTCCAAAACTCACATTTGTAGAAAAATGGCGCACAACTTTTCCTGCTAAACGAGGATCTGACTCAGTCTAAGTCTGTTTAAGTCTTTGAATAGGTCCAGACTTTTATATGAGGTCATAAAAATCAAGTGTAAATGCTGAAAAAAATGCAAAACATGAAAATTTTTAAATTACTTTTATTTCAATTTAAACATATGAATGCTAAATGAGTCATCTCCTAACACTTAATTCAGTTAAAAGTGTTTTTTCTATGTCTGTATTTTGCACCGTCTTCCTGACGTACTTCGTGCATCAACTCCACATCTACCTCAGAGTGGAAAAAGTCTGCAAAATTTATAATCTGATGCCTGGATGTCTCATATTTGGACTGTGTACATGTGCAACATAAGAAGTCGTTCTTCCTACACCACTGTAAGACAGAAACTCACATCACAGACTTGGGGAAGGTCGAAGTCATCCACTGAGAGAGCAGCTGACACAGGAAGTGAGCCTAGAGGAGAGAAAACCCCGGAGGAGGTCGTCTCCGTGCCGATGGGGTTCGAAGGCTGTCAGACAACAGGGGGCATCATCTTCCTGAGGCTTTATTTAGGACAACCAAACCTCTTCAAACCACCTGATATTCAACGTCACAACGACACTGTACTCTTCATAACAAACTGGGATTTAATGTCACTACTGGCAGGAGCGACGGTCAAAAACCATCCTAAACCAATTCACGACAGAGAGAACAGCTGATTTCATCGAAACAATGACAAGTCTGACTCTTGGAGGAATTACATTATGATTGGAAATTAGGGACAGACCTGAATTTGGTTCACTGCAACAAAAAAGAAAGTACAAAATTCTGGTTGAGGCGACACACCTGCGGTCAAATCGAGCTCTCGTTCAATGAGGGCTGCACGATTAATCGTTTTAAATCATAACCTTTTTATTTGATTATGACGATGTTAAAAAAATTAAAATCATCAAACCGATTTTCCTCTCTATCATGTCTCGTGCCTCCAGGCCACCGTAGGCTCCCCTGTATCCCCGCTCTTCAGTTTCCACACACCAGTATAAACAAACATGGCGTTTGTAAAAGAAGGCCATAATTTCGTGGCTAAATAGGACAAAAGCAAGTCAGATGTGTTGAATTGGTACGGCTTCACAGTTTCTGATGAAGACCAAACCACTCCCCGCTGCAAAGTCTGTCTGAAGGCGGTATCAACCCGTCCACACGGAAACGAATTCAGGAGTAAACGCAATTTTTTTTTCTCGTATCGGCGTTTCATCCACACGGAAACAGCATTTCAGGTGACTGTAAACGGTACCTTTTTAAAATGGGTCGACGATCATTTCATCTCCGTGTGGATGTCTATGTATCTGGAAACGATCATGTGACACACAGTGTAACTCTTTTATGGCGCCCGAGTGTGTCCGACCAAAACAACCTTTATCCACATGCTCTGTTCTCTTCTTCTGATTTTTGTGCATTTCCTGTGCAGCGTTACAGCGCCACTTACTGGCTTGGCATATGCACTACATGGTTTTCAGTGTTTTTGTTTTGAGAGATGATAGAACAACTTTTTATTTTTAAAGTGAAGTTTGATGAAGTTGTCACTGAATAAAGAAACGGAAATCTAGTTTTTAGAGGAAAATAAATCCTAATTTTATTTTTGGCCAATATCGCGCAGCCCTACGTCAGATGTGCCCTTCGTCTTTTTTTTTATTGAAACTTTGGGCGCGAAAATGCTGCCATTGTAAGACGGAATATTTACACTCTTGTTTTACCTCAACTGAGATGGAGGCGTGACAGTGGAGTAACCTCAGACGTTGTAACACAGTTTAATCAAAAGCAAGCTGACATGACGGTTTTAAAGCTAACAGGTTAATAACCAAACATAAAATCTGTCGTTACGATCAGCAGTATTTACAAACGCAGTCCTGAGGTTCGACGATTGTCCCTGCAGAGACCTGGCAGCGTTTCAAAGCAGCTTCTGTCCCAACTGTTACCCAGGAGGTTACAGCCTTTGGAGTTTTCATATATTTGTACGCCACCTGGTTAAAACCCAAAGAAAGGGAAGCAGGGTTACGGTCTGGGGGTTATATGTGTGTGTGTGTGTGTGTGTGTGTGTGTGTGTGTGTGTGTGTGTGTGTGTGTGCGTGCGTGCGTGCGTGCGTGTGTGTGTGTGTGTGTGTGTGAACTGAAGGGGGGGGAAGAGCTGGAAAGCCCCCAGTCCAGGTGCAATCCAGGGCCATCCGCGACGCTCCGTCAGCTTCGCGCCGGGCCAGCGAGGGGTTCAGACAGAGGGGGGTGGAGGGTGAGATCTTCTCACCCCGCTGGCCTTCTTCTGCGAAGCGGAGCTGGTAATTTGGACAGAAATCTGGATTTATGCCCAGCGGAGCCTGGGCAGCAAGGCAGTGAAGCAGCCCGCGGTCGGGGCTCACAGCAGGGGAGAGGGGCTGAACTCAGGATGACCAATATGTTTTCACTCGTTCATTCATCCTGCTTTTCTCTCTCTCTCTCTCTCTCTCTATCCCCTCGTCTGTACTCTCACTGTACTGATCCACTTCTCTGTGATCAGCTTAGTCTGCCTCCACTCCTCCAGACGGTTCATCAACTCTATTGTTAAGCGCACATACCACAGGAAATACAGTTTATCACTGATCGGAAACGTCCTGTGTGCAGAAAAACTACGATTAATCCCTCAAGTTTTCATCCTTCCCTCAAACCGTCAAATATTTATACTACTTTTGCACCAAATACAACCTTCAGCACAGTTTGCATCATGTCGCAATAATCATATCCTCATTTCTGAATAAATCAGTCGACCGGGTCCACTCAGAATACACCTGAATTACTGTTCGGTTTCAGGACTAATTGATATTTTCGTTATTGCAGGTCATATATGGCGTCCAGGATGCAGCACGACAACCTGGCACTATCGGGGACTGTGGATCTGGTCATTTAGTGCCGCGGTCCGACAATCGTCCTTCACTGAGAAGTAAACAAGCTCAGATGAGAAACGACATTGACAGTTTAACGGTATTTTGCTGTTTTCTCACCTTAACTCATGTTTTCAGCCACAGATAAAAAAAAGAACTGATGATGTTGTGTCTGTTTCCTAGCAACAGCATCATGGAGAACGTCACACGGAACTTCAGCCGTTGCCTTGACAGGTCTTGTTATGATATGACTTAAATTTATACTTTGACGTTCTTTTAATCATATCTAAGGCTCGACATGGACTCACCCCTGACTTTATTTCTGAGTTTTTTATCCCTCTAGGAGCCGGGACGTGGTCTGAGATCCTCTAACAGTGCTCTGCTGGGCTGGCTGTTCCAAGGTCCACATCAAAATCTACATGTGAAAGGACGTTTGCTGTCAGAGGAGATCAGACTTGCAAAGTGAGTCCCTTCTTTTATTTCCCTGCTTAAGACAAATTTTACAGAAAACCTTTTATCCTGTGATTTTATCTCTTTCCCTCTCCTAAATCTTTTATCGCACGATGTGAAGCACTTTGTCACCAGTATTGAAAAGTATAAATAAAGTATGATTGAGACTAGCAGAGAAGTTTTATTTTTACTTTGCCCAAACACCCCTACGTCTAAGTTAAAGGTGGGTTAGGCAGGAATCTGTTAAAGAAGCATCTTTTTTGTGGTGTTTATACAAAAAAGCTTTAAAATCAGTCAAAGCTATCAGTTATTGATGACATTCGGTAATATAATGTGCATCTGTTTGTGGGCGGGGTTTGCTGGAGAGGAGGAGCTGAGGGGAAAACTGGTTTGGAGGGGTTGAGTTTACATTCAAGATTTCTCCCAAAAACTGGCACTTCCTCAGATCCTGCCTACCCCACCTTTAAGTTGATTTTCGGGTGGAACAGGCTGCAACACTAAACCAAACATGATAGAGTAAAAGCCGTATATTACCCCCACCCTAACTCTATGTTAGGAGCTAAAGGACGCTTAAATACAAAAGTCCACTCTGCTTCGAACTGCATCCCCTCATTCTTGTGAGAATCAACAAGTCACAGAGTTGGTAACCAAACACCTCTCTCCTTTTTTTCCTTTTTTTCTTTTTACTCTGTGATCGCACCCAAACAGAAAAGCAGTCGTGTAGATTCACCTGCCAACATTTGTTAGTCAGTGTGAGGTCTACATCTGCCAAGGCAGGCACAGCAAAGTAATAGAAGGTAATAAAGAACCCCGTAATAGAGCATGGCAGAGGAGGTAATTACAGTGAGGGGTGTCTTTTAAAGGCTTGTTTGTAATGATTCATGGTTGCACAAATGCAATTTTCAATGTCACTCCCCTCTCATCACTCACTGCTGCTCGCCTGGATCTGCAGGTAACCTTCCCTTCACCCCTGTGAGGAGCATCTGAACTCAAAACCCCGATACAAAAAAAAAATCTTTTCAATAATTCGGATAATTTTCATTCCGATAGCTTCTCTACGTAGTTTCTCGTACGCGCCATAGCTTCTGGCGCAAAGTGTTTCTTTCATCCCGCGCGCCCCAAACATCTCACTCTGTTAATATTATTATTTTCAACTGACAAACAACAAGCAGGATAATTCAAATACACTTCCAGTAAGCATTCATGTGTGAGCATGCACCCTGCAGAGAGGCGCGATGCTCACACGGCTAAACTTTTGATGTTTGCAGCTCGGCAGAATCAGGCGATGACAGCCGAGGATTGGCAGATTGTGGTCGTTTACAGGAGTGGATAAACACAGAACATACAAAATACTCCCTTCTCTGGAAGTTTTTAGTGGTTTTCTGTTTATTTTTTTTACAAACATGCAACCGGAATACACAGAGGAAAGAAAAAGTTAATTTTAGTGACTCGATTTTCGTCATTCTGGTGAAGTTTGACTGTATTTTGCTGTTTTCTCACCTTAACTCATGTTTTGAGCCACAGATTAAAAAAAAAAAAAAAATGAAAAAAAGGTGTTCAGTCCTGAAATCTCCTGACATTATTAAAGTCCCTGATGATGTTGTATCTGTTTCCTAGCAACAGCATGATGGAGAACGTCACACTGAACTTCAGCCGTTGCTCTGTGTGGGATGTGTACAAGTATTGTTACGATATGACTGAAGTTCATACTTTAAGGTTGGACTCGCCCCTGACTATATTTCTGTTTTTATCCTTCTAGGAGTCGGGACGCGGCCTACAGGAAAATCACAAAAAAATCACCAAATTTGACAAAGTTATAAAAAAAAAAAGAATGCTGTTATTTTTTACATGGTCATTTGAATTAAGGCGTTAAACGTAAATTATATGAGAGGATAACTGGATTTTGCACTTAAATCAAAAAAGACTTATTCTGTATAATATAGCGAAATGACAAAAGGCGAAGTTTTCTTATTTTATCCATTATCTTATATTAATCGTTGAAGCTGTAGCAGGAGCTGGTGGTATACCAGAGTGCATTGTATTAATGTGGTTCCTAATGATTTGGCCCTTTCCCTCATATTTGTTAATGGGGTGGACAATATATAAGGAACACCTTTTAATTTAACGCCCTCCAGTACAGCTTGACCACCGATTATGTCTACAATGATAAATATAAAGAGCAGACATTAGGGCTGGGCGATACACCGAAAATTTACCGATACCGAAACTTACAATAACAGATGTCATTTTGCCAGCTTTTGGAGAAGTTATCGTCCATTTATCGATATCGAGGTGAACTGATAAATATATAGTGATATTGATTTGAGGCCGTATCGCCCAGCCCTAACAGATATCACCTTTCTGAACAAAACTGAGCACTCAGAGGAGTTTGAGGCAGGGCTGTTGAATAAATGTTCCTAATATTATGGCCGCATGGTCGTACATTATTCACTCCTTTAGAACAAGAGAACCTTGAATTAAAAACTACGGCTCCGTTCAAAGTAAAATCACCAAGTGTGAAATTTGGCGGCTTTTCTAAATTCCATCCAAGTTCATCCTTCTGTTGTGGTTTTTACGTGATGTGCTTCAAGTGCAGAGGTCATCATCTCTGCCCCTGACTCATCTCTGATCCCCCTGTCTCTCAGGGAGTCTTGACATCTCTATAGGCCTATTTGTCACCACAAGAAAAGCGTCTAAGCCGCCGCCGCCCCCCCCTCCTCTTTTCCTTTAATAACCCGGGTTTGCATGAGACGTCATTCATGTCGGGGGGGAAAAAGCGCTCAGACTGGGCTGGAAGAGACTCGCGGCAGAGCATGCAGCGGCATACACCGCCACCGTCTCTTCCCTCTGCATCCTGGCCCCAACTGAGACCCAGACATCAAAGGCAGGTGGAGTGAAACCATGAAATTACAGGTAAGGTGTCAATTACCCTTTGAAACCAAGCACTCTCCAAATCCAGGCAAGACCGAGCCGGTCCCTGGAATTAGAACAAATAAAGAGGAACTGAAGGGAGAATGGCAGGGGAGGAGGGGGAGGAGTGGAGGGGGAGGTTTTACGGGCCGTGTTGACAATATAGCATCAGTATAAAAGGTCCTAATTCAGCTTTAAATTACAGCCCTGTACTCCGCTCCTCACACAACTCTACAACCACCGCCTGTTTGGGTGTGTGGGAGTGCCCGGTTTGAGGAATAAAGAGGCTGCAGGTAAAATCTAGATCTGCAGAACTGCGTTTTCAATTTTTTTACACATACTTTTTTTTCTCCTTTAGAGTTTTGGCAGGAAAAATAACACTTTTCTACACAATTACATCCCCGGTTTCACTCACACGCTGCCGTCTGAGGCCAATTTCAGCACGTAATGGAGGGAAAATCCAGATGAGCAACTTCTAGATTACAGGTGCAGCTTTTTATAACAGACGTAAACGTTTTTATGGGGGATATTACACCGAGTAGCATCAGATTTATCCCAGTCATTAAAGTTTACAGCCTTATATGAAGGAGCAACTAGATTTAATTTTATGAGTTTGTAAGTGTAACCCATTTATCCCTGATTTCTATCACTTAACGTAGTCTTTAATAAGAAATGATGGAGTAATGTTGTTTTTATCATGTGCTAATGAACACTTAACGATAACAACACACTGGATTGGAGCTAGTTTAAAGTTTTAAGAACTTTTTTATCCTTTTTTTAATACTTTTTTTAGTTGAAATACACAGATTAAAACACATTTTTACGGTGGCCCTGAGGTGTGAAACACAACGGCAAGTCAGAAAAAGACAAAAGAAGTCAGAAAACACGATCAGCCATTGTGTTTTCTCTTTTTGTGTTGTGTTTTGCACTTCAGAGCCACCGTACAATTGGACCAAATATCAGCCTTCAGAGACCCAGTTTTTTTATTCTTTTTTCATATTTTTTTGGTTGAAACACAGAAATTAAAACACATTTGTACAGTGGCCCCTAGGTGCGAAAGACAACACAAAAAGAGAAAACACAACAGAAGTCAGAAAACACAACAACGTTAGCCATTGTGTTTTCTCTTTTTGTGTTGTGTTTTGCACTTCAGGGCCACCGTACATTTGTGCCCAATATCAGCCCTCACAGACCCAACTTTTTTATTCTTTTTTAATACTTTTTTAGGTTGAAATACACAGATTAAAATGCATTTGTACGGTAGCCCTGAGGTGCAAAACACAAAGGCAAGTCAGGAAACACGACGACGTTAGCCATTGTGTTATCTCCTTTCGTGTTGTGTTTTGCACCTTAGGGCCACCATATCATTGGACCAAATATCAGCCTTCACAGACCCAACTGCACTAGTAAAAATGTCGGTAGCTGCTTAAGAAACATTTAGCATTGCTGTCTTGTTATCAACTTTAAAACACCGACTTTCACAGACTTTGCACCTGTCAATTACTAACTGAATATCACCTCCTTTCACAATAACGAGCCCTTCAAAATAAAACCATTTTATCACAGCGTCTTAGATAAAATAGCTTTTTAATTAGAACCGTGACAGATCTTGTTACATTTTCTTAACTTTTTTTCTTTTTCCTGTCGGTTTTTAACCAGATCACATATTTGTACCTTAATTGAACATGTTGTACGGTTAATTCAAACCAGGTTAAACGAGGTTAATTTACATCAGGAGGAGTTTCTGTATATAAAACTCTGCTGACATATTTCTTAACCATAAAATATCATTACAACAGCTAATACTTTTCTCTTTTTGAACTGAATATAATCAATATTTCTTTTTTCTTCTTAAAGACCATGAGAGGTATTTTGGACGGCCCTCCCTCCCTTAAATACCAGAAAACATTTCCTAAATTTCCTCGATCCGTGTTTAAAAATAGCTTTGGTTTATTATTTTCCATAAAGAAAACTGTCACTGTGGGAATTAATTGAATTAATCATCCTCCCCTCTTGTCCTCTCTTTCTCTCTTTCTCCCTGTGTGCCATGAAGCCGGCTGACAGCTCATGTGGGAAAAAAAAACCCGACCACAGCTTTGGGTTACACAACACACAACCGCCCGCTGAGCCACAGACAGCGTTAGCCCGGTCCAGCCCAAATCATGCAGAACACCCACAATGCATCCCCGCCCCTGACCTGCCCAAACTCTACCGGGTGTCCTGCACCGAGCCGGGATCTGAGCTACCGGGATGAAGGTGAGGAGGAACTGTGCAGAGCTTTATCTCATAAAAATGCATCGTAAAACGTGGTGTCAGTGATTCAATAAGGATGAAACTCAAATTAGAAAAACAAACGCGGCTCATCCTACGTAAAGAAAATCAAAACAAGCAACAATCTGAACTATGCAGTTCACACAAAGTGCATGTTGGCATCATAACTGTAATTTACACGAGCACTTCGAGTCACACAGACTCTGCTCGGCAGCCAAACAAGAAGTAAAAGTCAAAATTGTATACCAGTATGTGTATATAATTACAGACATGAGCCTAGTTTTTGTTGCGATCTCATGAAACATTCATAGGACAGCTGAGGAAGCGCACGTCTGAATGCCACATGCATGAATCTGCAGAGCGTTTTATCACAGTATCGGTCAGATAAATAGAGACAGCTCCAGAGTGTGTCTCAAATATGCTATACATGTTAAACATACAGCACAGATAAAATTTCAGTCCTCTCAGACCCATGGTGCAGAAGAATAAACTATAAGAATTAAACTATAAAAGTATAAATATAGAATAAACAACTAAGCTAAACTAAAGACTATCTTAAATACTCACATCAATTTACAAAATAAAGATAACAATATAAACAGCATAACAGTATAAACAGTGAGCAGTATAAATATAAGGAGTAAGGTGAGTGGAAGAACGTGAATGTAAACAGTATGGCAGTCCTGAAGTGGACATAATGGTGCATATATGGCAATAAGGATGCGATAGTGCAAATAAATGTAATACAGTAGTAATAATGGTGCAATGATGAGGATAAAGTGAAAGTGTGCAGTCCTGTGGTTGGTGTGTTTGTGCCTTTTGTTTCAATAAAACAAAAAGGCCTTATAGAGTCAGTGTGCGGACATGATTGACCAACCAGGAGATTCAAATCAAAGTGCAAAGGCCTTAAAGGGATATTCGGCGTAAATTTAAGCTATGGTCAAATACACCGTAACACCGAGTTAGACACCCCCTTGAGAGATGAATGTTGCTGTTCTGAGCATCATTTGTGGCTATAGAGTGGCGTTTTGGTCGATGTTTGCGCATGTAGACGTAGACCTCTGTGTATTGCTATCCTGCAGTCGTTACTAAAGTTGGTATAACTAGAGAAGCAAGCGGTCAGCAACATTCATCTCTCGGTCTGTTTGACCCTAGCTTACATTTACGCCGGAATATCCCTTTAACTTTCGTTTTTCGGGTAAAACTCTGCAGACTGAAGTCCAACTTTCATGTCATCTCAGCTTAAAAAGTTTTCTCTCTTTTCTGTTTTAATCCCAGTTTGCAAACATTTTAGCGGACGGTTATTCTTTAAACCAAGTGAGACTCTGTCTTGTGTTTACCATCTTTGCAGGGCGCTGTATGTGAGTTTCCTTTGTGTATGAGTCACCTCTCAGCTGTTTAGATGCTCCATTGTTACACTCAGCATCTGCAGCCTCGCTCATCCTAACCCTAACCCAAAAACTAACAGCAGAGAAGTTTGTAAATGTCCGTCTTTAAATCTACTCGTGTGTGTTTCTCTTTAGTCTACCGTCAAACATTGCAACTTGTCTGCGCTGTATGTGAGGTCCTCTTATTGTGTAACTTTCTTGTTTTGTGCCAGCACCAATTAATGAAGTCACATTCCTGGTGTACCACTTAGACTTGGCACGAGAACATGATCCTGACAACAGAGCAACAATAAAAAATAGAAAAAAGGAGAAGGAGCGAAGTCTGGTTCAAACTCACGATCGCAGTTTTCGACCTGGAGCCATAAATGTCGACACCTTTTGACAGTTACCATGGTAACCACAGTCTGTTTTATTATCATTTTAGACGCCTCCAGATACTGACGAACGATGAAGAGTGTGGCGTGTGTCTTCACCTGTGATCCTCCACGGGAGAGTCGGTGCGGAGGATTTGCATGTTCAAACTTTATCCAATCTGGATGCATCATTAAAATGTAAGTCAGTGTAAACTGGAAACTACTGTGAGCTATTCAGTCCAAGTCAGTTCACTAGATAAACAGGCAGTCGGTGTAGCTGGAACATACAGTAACCTGAAAAAAGGAGCAGATTCAGAAAAAACAATAAACATTTACAACTTTGTCCACCTGATGAGGCTTCTGAGCAAACAGCTACATCCTGAGTAGCAATCAGTCTGTCAGCAAATCTGTGCACAACACTATGGTGACCATATTCTGACTTCCCAAAAAGAGGACACAACTATGTCAGGGCGGACTCATGGAGTCACATGAAGTTAATTTTGAGAGTTTTTCGGTCGGATCGAGTGTTTTTTATGAACTTCTAACTCAGTAAGTCCACATAATACAAAATCGAAACTCTCGTACAAAACCGCGGACATTTGAAGGATAACAAACTTCCCCGGACAAAGCTGGACAACCCCGGACAGCCCCCAAAAACAAGGACATGTATGGTCACCCTACACAACACTTTATCCTAATGGATGCGTTATAGAAGAAAATTGGTCCCTTACGATGTGTACAAATGGTCAAAACTGATCTTGTATCAAGCTTTAAGCATCTTAAACTATGCCAATAAAAATGGCCACTTTATTATGGGTGCTAATGAGATTTAATGCCTTCTTGGACCATCCTCAAGTGGACACTCAAAGAACTGCACCTTTAATGTGTTTATGCATTGGTGTCATTTTTTTCAGCACCAGAACAGACGGCTTTATTTCGAACTTTTTTAACTAAAAAGAAGATTTTCAACCATCTTCATACGTCCTCTTTGTGTTGTTGTGTCCTCTTTTTAGGGATTCAGAATACGGTCACCCTATTTAACACATGGTTCCCATATCAGTTTGCACATCTTAGATTGTGGACTCTAGTCTGGAGTACTCATTTTAGTATGAGTCAGTATTAGGGTGACCCTATTCTGAATCCCCAAAAAGAGGACACTACTACCGGGGCAAAATTTTGAGGGTTTTTTGGGTCGAGTGTTTTTTACACGCTTCTAACTCAGTAAGTCCACACAACACAAACTTCAAACTTGCATACAAAACCCCGGACATTTGAAGGATTTCATAAACCCCTGGACAAGGCTGGACAGCCCCCAAAAAGAGGACATGTCTGGATAAAAGAGGACGTATCGTCACCCTTGTCAGTATTTTACACTGTTAGCCTAGCTAACAGCTAACATTGTTGGTATAATGTTGGAGTTTGGGATGTATTACTTGGAAGAAAATCACTTTAAATTCTTCATTTTTGTTTGTCAATATTAAACAGAATCTCATGGGACGTTAAATTAGATATTTTCCATGCATCGTTTTAAATGGGTCACGTATTAGCATGCGAACATTTCCCATAATTCAACCTGTTTCATAAAGGAAAACTACTACTGAGTGTCAATGTCTGTAAACAGATATTCACTCTTGGAGAACTAGTTTGTGTTGTGTAACCGTTATCTAATTCAGTAACTGGTACATTTCCACTAAGCTGGGACTCGCTGCAGTTTGAAAAGCAAACCCGACCAGCTACATGGTCTAGAGCAGTGGTTCTCAACTGGTGGGTCCCAACCCACAAGTGGGTCGCGGACACGTTCTGGATGGGTCACAAACAGCTGGTCAAAAAATTAAATATTTAATGCGATATTTACTAGAAATTTGATATTTTCTGTATATGCAACTTCAGTAGTTGTTGTCCTCATGTTGTCCCCTTCATGTGCTCTGAAATGCACTTTACTTATTAAAACAAGTGGATTTATGTTGAAGATTAGAGTCTTTAAAAAAAAATTTAATATATAAAAACATAAATTTGCTTGTTTGAATTCTATAAAAGTGGATTGCGGTTGAGAGCCACTGGTCTAGAATGTCTCTCGAGAGTCCATTTCATGAGGGGAAACTATCCTGGACAGAAAGTAAAGTGTTAATGGAGATGTTAGCACAGTTTACAACCAGCTATAAAGCACAGATGAGACGTTTACAAATGTTTAACTTGCTGATTGGCTCGCTAACATCCTCATTATTGTGAATGGAGAATTAACGTGCATGTAAACAAACTAACAGAGGCGTGAGGCAGACAGAGCAGACGCGTCTGTCAACAGCCTGATGACAACAATAAGTCATCCACCTTTTCAGCCTCATAAACAACTTCCCATTAATAAAGTCGGGCGGTGATTCATCGAATCCTGCGGTCTGCAGCTCCTCACCAGCCAAGTGTTGTGTGGAAAAGTTGTGTGTGGCATTTTTTTTTCTTTTTCCAGTACCGTGCGCCAAACTTCTGTCAACTCACCTTACACTTCCTAATGAAGTTTTAGGCTTTGTGTCTCTCATCGTCACATGTTTTTGCCAACCTGTGGACGCTGGTTCAAAACTGGGCATGGTTCATTTTTTAGAGCCACAGCTTTTCTTTAATAATCATTCAGTCATCGATCCTGGAGATGAGTCTGAGTTTGTCAAAGGATGCATTTATGAAAGAAAGAAGAGGAAGAGCCTTAGAGTCACAATCTGTTCGTTTTAAAGACATTTTAAGGATCTCTTGGATTTAGTTTAGCATTTCTGAATTCATATAAACTGAATCAGAAGCTATTCTTGGCTGCAGGAGATGTTTTAGTGCAAAAATAAACACCTGTATTAGATGCTGCATTATTATAATACAGATGTCCCGTCTTAACCGCGGCTTTGTTTTTTCATACTGCACCAAACAAGGCCAGTAAAATGCTGCCACAGAGCGTGGTTTCAGGAATCACGCAGATGTTATTGAAGCAAGAGAGACGTGAGCAAAAGCTGTAATTTATAACAGATACATTACAGTCTAAACAATGATTATTAGGGATCAAATGGCTGCACTTTCTCACTATGCACAGACTGCAAAGTTAATAAATGTTTCTTTGAGTTGTAATATCACAGATGAACGGATTCGACAACAGAGAGATGATGTTTTTAATCATGAGACAGAGTTTTATTTTGCATGAAAGATTTCTTTAACTTTCCTCAAATAAGGAAAAATGTCGACCCTCTATTTCAAATTTGCACGATCTTAATCATATAAGATTTTAAAGGTGAAAACCTTGAGATTATTCTCTCTTTTTCTGTGTTTTCTCAGCAGTTTAACTCACCTGATAAATGACCTGCTTTCCTACCAAAACCTCCAGCAGTGGTTCAAGTCTCATCTCTGGTCGGTTATTATTCTGCTCAGTTATGAAAATTACCTTCTGTCTTTTTAATGACTTATCTTCTGATTACAATACTCATGGATGTCACATATTTTATGTGATTTTTTTAATTAACCCTTTATTGCCTTTTGTATCATATGTGACACATACTTTAATATACTTCTATCAAATCAATATGATCAACAAATAACTAAAAAAACACCTGAATACAGTCTGATAAATGATAAAAATGTTCTCTTGTAGTTTATCAGTTTCCAAAAACATCTAACGTATCAAACGAGATAAATAAATATATTTATTTTAAAGACATTTAGATTTTTTGTTTTTTTAGTAGTAAGTGAAATAAACATTTCAGCTCCAAAATAATCAGGCATTAAAGGGTTATATCTTTATAGTTAGAAAAATAAAAAAAAAAAAATAAATCTAAAATCTGCTGACCTCCTCTGTAAACATCAGCATTAGTCGTCCATTATTACACACTACCAGGTGGTGTCGTTATTGTTTCCAGAACCTGCTGCTTGTTATCCCAGTAGAAATTTCTCCCATATGTTAAAACATTAAAAATGATTTTTTTTTTCTCTATTTTCAGGTTATTCATACGAGAAGTCTTTAACCTCAGACTGGGTAACCCTCGATCAAGTCGCTGCTGAGCTTTCAAACGACTTGCGAACTCACCTTTGTCAGAGCGGCACATTAAGCGGCGAGTGAGTGACACTTTTTGTCTGAGTCTGCCACAGAAGGGAAGTGATGCAACTACGAGGTAAGAGACTCAAAAACAACACGCAGGTGGAAATCAAAGGGGCCGAAGGCTGCCTCGCTGACAGACGAGGAGCTGCAGCGGAGGAGCCGTGAAGGAGTCTAAAAAGTCTCCCCGTTTGCTGTCACTTCTCCGGTGTCACTCAGCCTGTCAGTATTGATATCTGTGAGAAGAAAGCAAAGCTCGTGGGCCGATGTGAACAAGCTCAACAGCTGCTTGTCTACGTAAGTGGCTGTGTGTGGTGGATTTCCATTTTATGACTCAAACATAAATTATACATCCAGATTACAAAACATCCCATCACTCAAGGTCGGATGAGTAAAATGTAGCTGAAAACAAGTGTTACCACAGATAAACCCCAAGAACACAAGTTTATGAATATTTTCCCTCTCTGGAGGTCTGTTGTTGTGGCTCAGCTGGCACAAAACAGCCGGCCCCGTGTTATGCCCTTACATTGAATCCCCTTATTACAGAGAATCCCAGCAGTAATGGAAATAACCTGTCGTTCTGGGCCAGGTAGCTCGACAGGCCCATAAATCAAAGCGGGTTTTTTTTTGGGGGGGGAGGCGGGAGGAGAGTCGGTGGAGGAGAAAAACTAGGGTAAAGAAATAAAAAGGGAGGAGTTTCCTGTGCTTGTTGACAGGCTCAAATGAAGCTTGAGCAAACAGGCTCTTCAAGGTGTGAGGAGCTCAGACAGACAGGTAGGCAGACGGGTAAGAGGGCAGACAGGTTTAAGGCAGGGAGACTGGTTTAGAAACTTTAAAAGGATGTCATCTGCAGGTATGAAAATAGAAAAATCCCCAGCAACAACAGCAGAGGAGGAGTGGGTCTGTTCAGAAAAAATCTAGAAACTTTAGCACTCATGACAAGTTTGCCAAAGTATGTTCCAACCAAAGATAAGAAAACAATCCAGGTCAAAGGGAGCCATTTATAAACTTAACCCAACCTCAGAGTATCAAATAAACAGGTCAGATCTTAATTTCACTCTTTAAAGTGAGAAAAAGCTTTATAATAAGTTATAAAATATCAACAAAGTGCCCTCTAGATGACATTACAGTAGATAAAATGTACAGAAAGTGCCCTCTAGATAACCTTACCGTAGATTATATGTAAACAAATTGCCTTCTTAATGCCCTTTCAGATATAAAATGTAAACATAGTCCCCTCTAGATGACCTAACAGTAGATAAAATGTAAACAAAGTGCCCTCTGGATGACCTAACATTAGATAAAATGTAAACAAAGTGCCCTTTGGATGACCTTGAAGTAGATAAAATGTAAACAAAGTGCTCTTTGGATGACCTTGAAGTAGATAGAATGTAAACAAAGTGCCCTCTGGATGACCTTGAAGTAGATAGAATGTAAACAAAGTGCCCTCTGGATGACCTTGAAGTAGATAGAATGTAAACAAAGTGCCCTCTGGATGACCTTACAGTAGATAGAATGTAAACAAAGTGCCCTCTGGATGACCTTACAGTAGATAGAATGTAAACAAAGTGCCCTCTAGATGACCTCACAGTCGATAAAATGTAAACAAAGCGCCCTCTGGATGACCTTTCAAATATAAAATTTGAACAATGTGCTCTCTAGATCACCTTAAAGAAGATAGAATGTAAACAAATTGCCCTCTAGATGACATACACAAAAATACATGTCAACAAAGTGCCCTCTAAATCCGCTTTCAAAGTAAAAATGTAAACAAAGTGCCCTCTAGATGACCATACACAAGATAACATGTCAACAAATTGCCCTCTAGTTGACCATACACAAGATAACATGTCAACAAAGTGCCCTCTAAATCCCCTTTTAAAGTCAAAATGTAAACAAAGTGCCCTCTAGATGACCTTACAGTTGATAGAATGTAAACAAAGTGTCCTCTAGATGACCTTACAGTAGCTAAAATGTAAACAAAGTGTCCTCTAGATGACCTTACAGTAGCTAAAATGTAAACAAAGTGTCCTCTAGATGACCTAAAAGTCAACAGAGTTTAAACCAGGTGCCATCTAAATGACCTAATAGTAGCTAAAATGTAAACAAAGTACTCTCAAGATGACACTACAGTAGATAGGATGTAAACAAAGTGCCCTCTGGATGGCCTTACAGTAGCTCAAATGTTAACTAAGTGACTTCTGGATGCCATTCTTGTTGACACAATTGAAACACTCTAGATGGCCCACAAGTTTATACCTTATGCTGTGGAAAAAAATAAAAAAGTGCCATCAATGTGCCTGTTTTTTGATAGAATGTATTGTGCATCTTTTAAGTTTTGGACAAGTTTAAACTCTGAACCAAATCCATGTTTATATTTTCCAGGCTGTATTGGCTTTCCAAAGAGCTTGATAGCTGGAAAAAAAATGAGATCCTCTCATTTAAAGCTAACATAATCTATCTCAGTCTCAGCTGCACAGCGTGCTGTGAACCATCCCTGCTCCTAAACCTCAGAGC